TTTTGTTAATGGCTCACATGCTGCTAATTTGTCCAGACAACTGTCTAGTTATCTTTTAGGAAATTGGACCAAAGAGTTCGACGAGCTTCAACAAGATCTAAGGATCGCGATCGTGCAGATCAATTCCACCAGAGTCGATCCTTCAATAGCACACTCCATGACAGACTGGATCAAGACCATCACAGCCTCTGTGAAGGAATGGGCGGGAGTGGGGGTTTTGCTCTCACTGTTGTGTGGAGGATTAGCTCTAGCCTTTTTTTTCCTTTGGCGTATAAGAGGGCTGCGCGAGATCGAGTCATCATCCACCAGGCGCTATTAGCCTTACAAGAGGGCGCGTCTCCTATGGCATGGTTGACCATGCTTTCGAAGGAAGACTAGCACTCAGCTTTAGCACCTTGAGCCCTTGCGGCATTGCACCGAGTTAAGTGGGTGTACTATGTCTCCTTCGAGGCCGGCCCTTGCACACTGTCGGGGTCTCTCCCATTGCACACAGTAGGGCGGCCGGCTGGTTAAACCAATGCTTCTGCCTTTATAATTGACAGCCAATGACGGGTAAGGGGACAGACAATCATCCGGCCTAAGACAGGAGGTCATTGGTGCGCAACAATGACCCTTCCGGACGGGCTTCGGAGTTGTCTTGTCACAACCTAAGACAGGCGTCTCTTATAAAGAAGAAAGGGGGAGATGTGGTGAGCCGCTGTGAGCCTTGTACTTGACCTGTACTTGACCTGCCTTTGGCTCAAGTCCAGCGAGGCCTTAAGATGGCGCCTGGTGGAAGAGAGCACGTCAGCAGTGGTGACGTTAGTCACGCACCTCTGGCTGAATTGCGCAGACGCCTGCGCAGGCGCAGTAATACAGCGCATGGGCAGGCCCGTGATCGGCGCGTGGACTAAGCCCTTGCCCTATCCGCAAGTCTCTCCAGAGGCATGATCAATACATCATCAGAAGGCTGGCCTATGAACAGCCGGTAGGGCGGAGCTGCCTTCTATAATAGTGAGAGCAAAAGGTGGGTCGGGGCTTCCTCTTCTTCAATCTTGGTGTGCACAATAAAGACTGCTGCGGAAGGCTTCAATCGTGTCTGCTCATCACTGCGGGTCGGTGGTCGGTGGGCGCGACAGCTGAGATTTTGGGTCACTTTGTCCTCAGAGTGCCTGGGGAGGTGTGAGGCGTCTTCATTATCATCTCCCTCTTCCTTTGGAGATTGTGGCATGAACGTATCTGAATACAAAGTTCTGTTAGACTCCATTTCTACTTGGATTTGTTTCTTTACTGGTATTGGTTCCAGTAATTCCAGTAATTATACGGCAGCTTGGAGCCTGGTGATTGTTCCCCAGATCACAAGGGATCTATCATTGGAGTAGCTTGTGTGCTATTGTTTAGTTAAATTCTAACTTTTACCAGCCTGCTTGTTTTGCAAAAATTTGGTATAAATTCCCCAGAAAAACTCAAAAAACAGTGCACTGATTCATCTCATCTCTGCATTCCGTGTGTCCCAAAGTTCTTCTCCGCATGGACGTCACAACTTGAGTCCAGGTCCCCACTAGAGGGACCCCCAACAAGACCCCCAACAAGGCTCCACCTTTTTGGCAAGACTACTGTCATGACTGCCGTTTTTTTCCATAAGAAAGAAATTCTAGTTTCTTTTTTGAAAAAAAGAATTTTTACTAATACATAGTAATTATACATATATTTAAGGCATATCGTGATGTTGTAATACATGTATACATTGTATGTTAAATATGGATATGCATATCTTTTTTCAAATATCTTTCATTACCTTATAGCTAAAACATTCAAAACACTTGTTTTTCTCTAGAAAAAGATATACAATGTTATCATTATAGTCATCTATTATGCAATTACACACCAGAACTCCTTGTTCCTAACTATAGCTTAGTACTCATTGAATAATCTCTCCATCCCTGCCTCCCTGGAATGGCTGGTTTCTTTTTGTAATGTTTATAGCTCCTGAGGTATATCTCCAGCCATTAACTCCTAATGGGTGGAAAAAACATTATATCCTAATTAACTCATCCTTTCTTTAATTACTAGAAAAATACAATTCATGAGAAGAATAAGTTTCTAATTAAAGGAACTTCTACAGTGCTTCAAAAAGTTAATGCAGATGGATTTAAAAAATAAACTTTTTGGTGCAAAAGCTTGAAACCCATGCATAATGAGGACTTCTCAAATAAGATTAAAAACTGTCTTGTGAAAAAATTACATGGACTTCAAAAACAATTGCACCAAAGTAATCTTTTAATTCCCATTTCCCACAAATGTTTTGTCTTTATTTAACTCGCAGTTCTAGAAGTTAAAGAACATGGTGCAGGTATCTGCTTGGCTCCAGGGAGTATTTTAGCTACATCAAAACATGGTGGGAGTATATGCAAGAGGGAGAGTGTATATTTTGAGACAGGAGCCAAAAAACCAGAGAGGTGTCATGCATTCTCTATAATAACTGGATCTCAGGAAATTCATCCACTCCTACCAGGTTGAGAATGGAGCCCTGTGAGCCAACCAGGAGACTTCATTTCTTTAAGATTTCACTACCTCAACACTGTCATCTTCTAAGCATCACCATAGGATTGGTTGGAAGCAATCTATTTGAAGGGCCTGGATTATATGAAGCCTTGTGTAAGATCACTGGGAGACATCATAGAGACTGCTTGCCACAACTGGGTTCCTACGGTAATTCTCTTGTGCTGGTGCAATGGTTCAACAGGCAAATCTTCCACCTGCAAATGCCATATCCCACATGAACACTGGTTCATTTGTGTCCCAGCTGCTCAACTTCCCATCTAGCTCCCTGCTTATGGCCTGGGTGGGGAACAGAGGATGGCCCAAGACCTTAGGACCCTGTACCTGTGTGGGAGACCCAGAAGCTCTTGGCTCCTGGCTTCAGATTGACTCCACTCCAGCCATTGTAGCCATTTAGGTAGTGACCCAGCAATGGAAGATCTTTGTCTCTCTGCAAATTTGCCTTTACAATAAAAGAAATATTAAAAAAGAAATTAACTCCATATGAACAAGAATTTCCATGTCTGTACTAAAGGACAGAATTACAGTAAAGACATTTATAAAATGAGGGAAAGATTCCATTTAAGCTTGGATCTTATTTTGAAATTCTTAAGCAAGAAGGCAAACTAGAGTATTAATTTTGCATCCAGTTGTTGATAATCATAGAATTCCTCATTAAGGCCCGCAATGGGAGTTCCTAAGATTAGATCCCTGAATATGAGAATTCAAGAAAAACTTGATTATCATGCTTGTCCTGTCTTGTAAAATCTGTAGTGGCTCAGCAGTGACTCAACTGTAAGAATCCCTAAGAACTAACCATAAGAGTGTTAGGATAACTTACTTTTTTTATTTTACATTTGAAAAGCAGAGGTTAGCTCCATCATCAGGTTCAGTTCTCACCGGCCATCAGTAGCTGAAGCCCTGAGTCAGAAATGCAATCCAGTTCTCCCACATACATAGCAGGAACCGAACTGAGTCATCACTGCTGCCTCCTAGGGCAATAAGGCTGAAAGGAAACTGGAACTGAGAATTAACGCAGATGTCTTCACTGCTAGACTAAATCCTGCTTGTAATGGGCCCCTTTTAATGCATAAATGTGCCTAATAAAATCTCATCACTACTTGTCTTCATCTCAATCCCAAATTATCCTGCATTTTCCCCCTATTAAGGGGTAAAGTATTACTCTAAAGTACTTAAATGAGCACTTATTTGCATAGCTAAAATTTCCCATCAACTTGCAAGTTATACTAGCTATCCCAAATTAATTTCAGGTCATTTGGTTGCAAGAAAATTCCTGGAAGTTTATGTCTAGTAAAGGACACATTCCAGACAAGAAATAATTGCTATACAAGGCAGCAGTATATAGGCGCATCAAAGTGGTGTGGATAGAAGTACCATAGTTGTCCAGTACAATATTGGGAGCAAGGGTCACATTTTTGGTAAACATCTACAGGGAACCTTGTCCATTTTTATGGCTGTAGCCCTACACAATCATAAAGGTGTTGCAATGTGACTTTTGTATGTAGACTTTTTGTTGTTGTACACAGAATCTTATAGGTACCAAACAATAACTTCAAAGTAGCAACCAACCCATTTTAGTGACAATAAATAACAGACCGATTCTAGAAAATAATATTTCCCTTGAGCACATTGTGCAGAATATATGAATCTATCCATGTACTGCACAATCTGTGCATGTCAAAAATTCAAGCATGAAATAACACAGATAAAAAAAAAATTCAAGCCTGATCAGATGCCTTTTTGCCAGGAAGAGGACCATAAATGGCAGGATTTGAAAGTCAATCAGATTGTGGTTATGACCACAGGAGTTAAGTCTTCTCTTTACCCTCCAAATTAATACCTGACTTAAACACTAAGGAGCTGTGATTGATACAGTTTACTTTTTCCATTTCTCATTGGATTATTTATCACTAATGACCCTTAATACAGACCCATTCACTCATCTCCTTAGGGAGCTCAACAGTGCTATGTTGTCAACATGTTATGCCTTCTTCTCATGATGACTCTTGTAATCTCTTTTGCTTTGTTTTGCTCATTCTTCACTTTTTTTTTTTTTTACTTTTGCTGCTAACTCACACAGACCTAGTAGGACCTACCTTTTGTATATAACTATCCAAAGGCACTGCTTTGCCTCTGGATTTTTTTCTCCACAGTTCTCTACTCAAGATTCATGTCAGGCTCTTCTCACCCTTCTCAATATCTGACACAGTTTTATCTCCAATGTTGGGATCTTTAGTCTCTCATCACCCAAGTTTTATTTAAATCATTATTTCCTTATAGATTCTGTTTCTATTTTGAACTCTGGATTTAGTGCCATTCTATGCTTACTGACACTGCCTGCATTTTTTAAATGGCATTTTCTAGAGAAAAATGTTTTTAAGGAAGAAGGATTTCATTCCTTTACTGCACAAAGTAATTTAACATATAAATGATTTTCCACACTTAACACAAAATTAGACAGAGAAAGGTACCACTGGAGTTCAACATTTTCACGGGAATTTTTATAACAGTATTTGAAACGCTATATAAACATCTGATTTAAAAATACTACTTGATTACTTTGATTATATACACCAGATTTTCTTTGGAGGAATACGATCTAACGTGTAGTTAAAATTTTTCTGTGTCTTGTTAAGGCCCATTATGTTTTCTTCATTTTATGTGCCTTAATCTGGAACAGTAGTGTCATGTCCCAAGTAGAAATGGGCGACACATCTTCGAAAATCCAGTAGGTCAAGAGGGGCACCAGGATTACAGGCTCTGTGTAACTGCCATGCGTTGTTCACAGCCACATCAATCATGTAGCTCACCAAAATTGAGTACCACTTCTTGCTTCTTATTCTTACCCTATATTTGGAAATAATTTGATCCATTTGAGCTACACCTTTTCTGCATTCATCAAACAATTTCACAATGGATGGCTGACACACCTGAGAGATCTCTTTATCATCAGCAAAACAGCTTATCTCACCAACAGGCTCTATGCCGACAGCATTGGAGCACAGACTGATAACATCATCACCATGCCAACGGCACAAAATTATCTCCTCGTTTTCTTCCACTCGAAAATCAAAATGCCCCTTCTTCGTTTTTCTCATGCGTTCTGTTTTCATCAGTGGACATTTTTCAGTTCTGTTGTCATAAATTGCTCCCGTCGCCTTCACCCCTTTTTTCTTCAAAGCTGACATTAGTTTGACACTTGTGAAGAAGCTATCAAAACACAGGTGATAGGGATACTGTCCCTTCTCCAAAAGAACATCAGCAAAATTCATTACTAGGTTTCCACCTAGCCCAAGGTCACAGTCTTTATCTGCCTCCACAGTTGATTCTTCTTGATAGGGCTCAAACCAAACCAGATAGCCCTGAGTGGTTGTACCACACCAAATTCTATAGCCTATTCTAAGAGGCTTTCCATTCAGGAATTGATCACTATCAATGCATTCACACATTGATTTATCAAAGCTGTAGTATTCTTCTAGGGGAGCATACAAGAGGAAATTTTTATTCATTTGCTTTATGAGAGGCCTTAATTCTGAAAATTTATCTTTCTGATCTAGATGGCTGTTATCTGCAAAATGCAAGTATGAGAAAATCAATTCAAATCTATCCCTCTGAATGGCGTTTCTAACCAGGTTCTGATCAGCATCAGACACTTCCCAATACATTTCCCTTCTGGGCCTCCTAACAAACCCACTCCAAAGTAGCACACCAAAAACACACCTCATTTCCTGAACTGTGACTTCCAAGTTGACATTTTTTTGAGAAGCATAATTATTGGTCTCGTTGACAATCAAATTGAATGTTTCATCATCAAAAAACAATTCAAAAAGCTCTACCGGGTTCAACTTTTCACTCTTGAGATTTAACAGACCAGAATCGAATCCTGACCAGCTTGGAAAGTTGGGTTTAATATCTCTCTTAGTCCAGTTCTCTGGCATACCAGACACCTTGAACTTCTTTTCAGCAGGCTGGGTCTCGGGCTCATTGTCCTCCTCCACTTCTGAGTCATCAGAAAAGGCAAGTCCTTGCAGTAACTCACTCACTCGAGCTTTGTCCTTTTTCCTCCCTTTTCGGGTAATGTCTCCCGCAGCATACTGCAGGGACGCAATGTGCATCCGGGCCCACGAGTCACGTGGGAGGCGGGCTTTCAGTGTGTTCAAGTGAGACACTGTCCTTTCAGTGGGGGCGGCAATACTACAAGGCAGGTGAGGTGCACAATCTCTGGAAAGCAAAAAGAATACATGCTGCACGAGCCTTCAGTCTCCTCTCATCGATGACAAATCAAAAGCAGACATCTTTTAACCCAAAGCAGGGGAGGTAGAGGGCAAGGGGGTTAGTTACTTCTCACCCTTCAAAATTCTTTAGGGAGGATTTCAGGTACAATGAAATTGGCCTTTCCCACTTTTCACCCACTCCTCATTTCATAGCTAATTGTCAATCTGGTAGGAAAAAACTGGACCTCCTGGGTGCAGCTCCAGCCCCTGTCCTCGGGAGAACAGGAGGCAAACACTGCATGTTCCTTTTTGCTCTATGCAGTAAGAGATCTGCTTCACTCCTTTCTGCCAGCACAAGCCTGTTTAGCTCTATCTCTGAGGCATGTTACCCAGTCTTATTTCTGTCAATAATAAAGTTGAGGCTTCCAGAATCATCTGTTGCACCCCTGGGTCCCTGTCAATTGTGTCTGTATTTGGATAAGGAAGGAAGATGCTATTTATCAGGTCTCCTCACACTTTTCACGGAATTTGTAAACACGGAGGAATTAGCCTCTCCTACCTCTACGTTCATCTTGTAGCCATATTTCTCTGGGGAAAAACAAGAAAAGGAACTCAAATTCATTGAACTGATTTATATGAGGTGTGAAAGAAAGTAAGCTAATTTTTTTTTAAATTCTACGCATGTGCATTTCATTCACCAGTGTTTTATCAGTACATTAATCTAGTTTCAAGAGACATGGCAGGAGGGACAGTCGTAAGAAGCATTTATTTTAATATAACTTATACTACATACATTTATTCTCTAAAGCATTTAGCATTCTGGGTGTCTTCAATTTTCTACCATATTCAACTCATTTATCTTAAGAGTCCCTTGACAGTCTCAACTTTGGCAGCAGTCTTTAACTCCTGTCTGACACTGGGCCTTTCCATGGCTGAACTCTACACTCCAAGAGCTACAGTGCATTAAGACAATCTGGTGAGTGAAATGGGAAAAAGAGTGAGGTAAGGAAGTAGGGTGGGAGACTAAAAGAGATGTACAGATCTGGAGTGGGCTACATCTTTCACATCATGCCTAGGCTGCTGCACAAATCTGGAGTGTCCTGACTTCAGGCTTTCTGAAGATTATTCCTAAAGGCATTGAGACATGGTTTCAGCAACCTAATACTAAACGCACAAGACAGACATCACAGCACATTGCTATTCTTCAGTTATAACTCTATACTAGGTCCCCGAATATTATATTTTATCTTTTGGTGACAGGGCCTGGCTCAGTCCTCACCAGAATACTGAAAATTTTACCTCTTTTAACGTTTCTATTTTAGCTGAAATTCATTTCCCTACTTCCTTAATTAATGAATAAATGACCATGAGGAAAACCTCCACTTAATTATCCCACCTGTTTGCTTTCTCCTCTTACGTCTCTAAGGAGAGAGCAGCCTCGCTGGCCTGGGATTTGCTCCCCAGGTTTCTGCTTTAGGAGTATCTCATTCCCACAACTCACATTTAAGAAGAATTACTACTATCATTAATTTTTCCTTCTTTTTCTCTTTTTGAACTATTTCTTGCTCAGTTTTAACAGAGGTTGCAAGTACCCCACCTGGCTCCATAAGTCCTCTTCCAGTTCTGGTACTTCTTTTCTAACTCTCATGGCAGCCTCACCTATAGACATCCCTCACATGTAAATCATCACAGGTTTGGCTTATCTACAGCTCCAGAAAAACATAAGGATGCCCAAGGAAGAACGATCAAGTGGGACACACTGGGTCAGAACAAGGTTCTCAGAAGTAAGCACGTGCTAACAGAAGGTTTTGTTTAATTACCTATATTGGCATCTGTCTTCTATGGTCAGAGAAATGAAGGTGGAAGTTGCCCTGCATTATTCCAGAGAGACACACTTTTGACTAATTAGTTTCCCTAGTTTCATTCTAATTTATTCTTAGATATACAATTTGATCCACTCAGAACCAGAACACTCACCTATTGTGTATTGCTGAAGTCTTTCCACTTTGTTCCATTTCTTTGGAAGTGTCTTGATTCACATTAGTCAATCCATCTTTAGTTACAACTTCTTCATCTATAATAATACATCAGTTATTGATATGTTACCTGTTACCATGATTATAGGGGAAAAAAAAAAACCCTTGGGGCTGGTGTGGTGACAGAGCAAATACATCTTCCACCTGAAGTGTCAGCATCACAGATGGGAGCCAATTCAAGTCTCAGCTGCCCCACTTCTAATCCAGTTCCGTGTTTATGATCTGGAAAAGCATTGGCCGATGGCTCAAATCCTCTTGGGCCTCTTCCACCATGTGGAAGATCCAGAGGAAGCTCTTGGCTTACGGCTTCACATTGACCCAGCTCTGGCCATTGTGGCCATTTGGGGAGTGAACCAATATCTGGAAGCTCTCTCTCTCTGTAAATCTGCCTTTCAAATAAAAATAAATATATTTTTAAAAATAAAAAGAAAAACCTCTGCAGTAAACTGAAGCGAAAAATCAAGATATATCAAGGGTAGTTTCAGGAAGTCTACAAAATGTGGTAGAGTATAAGAGGATGGTAAGAAAAATCAACAGGGCGCACAAGTTTAGCTGGGGAGAGGGCCCTAGAGGGCAGAGCACATGTAAAGAAAATTCAACATAGCCAATACTGTTCTTGGGAAAGAAAACTTCTATGGTTAAAAAGAGGGACCTGGGCCCGGCACGGTGGCGCAAGTGGTTAAAGGTCCTCGCCTTGCAAGCCCGGGATCCCATATGGGCGCCGGTTCTAATCCTGGCAGCTCCACCTCACATCCAGCTGCCTGCCTGTGGCCCAGGAAAGCAGTCGAGGACGGCCCAAAGCTTTGGGACCCTGCACCCGTGTGGGAGACCTGGAAGAGGCTCCTGGATCCTGGCTTTGGATCGGCATAGCATCGGCTGTTGCACTCACTTGGGGAGTGACTCATCGGACGGACGATCTGCCTTTTTGTCTCTCCTCCTCTCTGTATGTCTGCCTTTCCAATAAATAAAGCTTTTAAAAAAAAAAAAAAGTTAAGTCTCCACCTACAGGGCTGGCATCCCATATGGGTACCAGCTGGAGTCCTAGCTGCTGTACTTCCAACCAAACTCCTTGCTAATGAACTTGAAAAGCAGTGGAAGATGCCCCAGGGATTTAGGCTCCTGTACTGGGAAACCTGGATGAAGCTCATGGCTCCTGGCTTCTGTCTGGCCCACCTCCGGTCTAGCTCCAGCCGCTGTGGCCATGTGAGGAGTGAACAAGCGAATGAAAGCCCTCTCTCTCCATCTCTCTCATTTTCTCTGTCTCTCCTCTCTATAAATCTGCCTTTCAAATAAAAATAAATCGTAAAAAAAAAGACAGGCATCTCTTGGTGCCTGGTGCCCGCATGCTCACCAGGCTCGCCCTCTGGCACTCACCACTCACTTCTTGGGGAAGATGTGGAGGCTCACACTTCAGGGGGGTCCCATCAGGCAGGAGCTGGAGATGCTGAGACTCCAGAAAGGTTCCTTGACAGTCTGCCACCACGAGGTGCATGTTCTGGCCTTGAACGTAGAAAGAGGCCTGGAGATGAAAAATTCACCTTGAAAAGGCATTCCAGGGGGAACTGGACTGGACAGATGTTAGGGATGACCACAAACTTTAAAGAAGCTGCAGGTGGGACATTTAATCAGTGGATATGGCCTCATATCCACGGAGAGCCAGACCCTCCTGTACATGTCAGGGCTGCTGCAGCAAACCAGGCAGATGAATACGCAGGATCCCCACTCAGAGAGGCACAAAAACAGATGGATTGGATCCACTGTGATGGCACAGCTAGTTAAAACTTGTCCTTGCAAATGTCAGGATCCCATTTCGGTGTGGTTTGTGTCCCAGCTGCTCTACTTCCCATCCAGCTCCCTGCTTGTGGCCTTAGAAAGCAGTCAGGGATGGCCCAAAGCCTTGGGACCCTGCACCCACATGGGAGACCCGGAAGAGGATCCTGGCTCCCCAGCTTCAGCTCAGCTAAGCTCCGGCCATTGCTGCCATTTTGGGAGTAAAAGAGCGGATGGGAGATCTTTCTCTCTCTCTCTTCTCTCTGTAAATTTGCCTTTCCAATAAAAATAAATAAATAAAATGGCATCTGGATGATAAACTAGGATGTGTATGAATAGATACACAGTCTCCAAATGTCTCTCAAAAATTGCTTAGTATGGGTCCAGCGCAGTAGATGAGCGGCTAAAGTCCTCATTTTTCACACTCCGGGACCCCATATGGGCTCCAGTTCTAATCCCGGCAGCCCTGCTTCCCATCCAGCTCCCTGCTTGTGGCCTGGGAAAGAAGTCGAGGATGGTCCAAAGCCTTGGGACCCTGCACCCGTGAAAGAGACCAGGAGGAGGATCCAGGTTCCTGGCTTCAGATCGGCGCAGCACTGGCCACTGCGGCCACATGGAGAGTTAATCAATGGATAGAAGGTTTTCCTCTCTGTGTCTCCTCCTCTTTGTGTATCTGAATTTGCAATGAAAACAAATCTTAAAAAAAAATTACTTAGTATGGGCCTGGTGGCTTGGCCTAGTGGCTAAAGTCCTCGCCTTGAATGCGCTGGGATCCCATATGGGCGCCAGTTCTAATCCTGGTGGCCCCCACTTCCCATCCAGCTCCCTGCTTGTGACCTGGGAAAGCAGTCAAGGACGGCCCAAAGCCTTGGGACCCTGCACCCTTGTGGGAGACCTGGAGGAAGTTCCTGGCTCCTGGCTTCGGATTGGCACAGCACCATCTGTTGTCACTTGGAGAGAGAATCATTGGATGGAAGATTTTGCTGTCTATCTCTCCTCCTCTCTGTATATCTGACTTTGTAATAAAAATAAAACAAATCTTTAAAAAAAATATTCAGTATGAGAAGGAAAATGGTAATTTGCTAGCGGAGAGATTTGACTAATACCACTGCAAACACACCACTAGTGGCGTAAGCTATTGTTGTATGCCTCTAGAGTGATGGGCTAAGGAAGACACATCAGCTCTATGACGTGCCAGACAAAATGCACAAGCTGGGTCTTATCATGATGAAATATATAAGACAAGCTGAAATTGAAGGGCAAAGTCTCCAGTGAAGTGGGAATACATCTTTCAGAAGCATCAGTGGCATGACAAAGGAAGGCATCAGGTTCATACAACTAAATGCGATGTGTAGTGCTGGCTTATATCTGGATCAGCAGAATTAACGCCATAAAGAACACTATTGGGACAATGCACTCAATTCAAAAATAGTATGCACAGGGCAAGGTAATGATACATAGCATGAAAAAAAAAATGTTAACAACTGGTGAATGTGGGTGAAAACAATTCTTTGCATTTTGCTCCCAACACTTCTATACATTGCAAACTATCTCTAAATAAAAAGCTAATCTCCACACACTCTCATACATTCTCATCCCACCTGCTGTCCCATGTCTCCACATCCTGTCGCAAGATTCTCCAGCATGGTCACGGCCTCCTCCCCGCTCTGCAGAGGACACATCTGCATCCAGGCCTGCAGCTCCTCAGGCAGGATGCTCAGGAACTGCTCCAGCACCAGCAGCTCCAGGATCTGCTCTTTTGTGTGTATCTCTGGTCTCAGCCATTGATGGCAAAGTTCTCGGAGTTGTGCCATAGCCTCCCGGGGACTAGGTGCTTCCTGGTAGCAGAACTGCCGGAAGCGTAGGCGGCAAAGCTCCTGGGAATGACAGCTGCTCTCCTGTGTTCTGTATACCTGCTCCCAGGCAGGATCTTCCACCTTCACTTTCATGAGGCCATCTTCATTTTCAGGAGCAGACCCCGGTAAAGCTTCATACATGTTGAGTTTAGAGGCTAGAAAAAGGTTCACTTATTTAAGGTCTATGCTTCCAGAAATATTTTCCCAAATACAGATCCGAGGCATAATAAATCAGTAATATGTAAACTACAGAAGCTTCAAAACCCTGGGCTGAGACTGCTTGCCTCTTCTACTGGAAAACCGAATGAAAGTATTTCTTGAATACTAAGAGGGTTGAGTCTACGGCCATACCACCCTGAATGCACCTGATCTCGTCAGCTAAGCAGGGTTGGGCCTGGTTAGTACTTGGATGGGAAACTAAGAGGGTTGAACCCAGATACAAAAAGAGATAGAGTGAGGAAACAAGGGTTAATACTAAGAATGCTTGAATCCCTTCAGCAGAGGAAAAGGGGTAACTTCACTCAGGAAGAACCACCTGAGAGTTGGAAGCTTCTAAGTAGCTTCAGGGTGGGGGGCTGGTCACCAGAAAGACTGCAGCAGGATTAGAGTGCTAGGACTTCCAGCACCAGCCTCAGCGGAGGGAAGGCAGGCTGAAGGTTAAGTTGAGGACCAACGGCCAGTGATTTAATCTCCATGCTGGAGGCTCCTTCCAAACCCAAAAGGGCAGGGCTTAGGGTTCTTGCAGGTAGTTCCGCAGGTGGACAGCACGGAGCCCACACAGGGCATGGTTGCTCCCTGCCCCTTCCCCACACCTTGCCCTAGAAAACTCTTTCACCTCTATGCTTGCTAAAACCCTCTGTAATAAACCCTGTGTGTTTATAAACCCTGTATGTTTTCTTGAGTTCCAGGAGCCACCATAAGGAAATAAACCAAACCCAAATAAGGGGTAATGGAAGACATAATTTACCAGAAGCAAAGTGGAACAGCCATGGGCTTGTGACTGGTGTAAGAAAATGGGGAGCAGCCTTCTGGGGCCGAGTCCTCAGCCTGTGGGATCTCACTCTATCTACAAGCAGAATACACAGGATCTGAACTGAACTGGAGGACACAGAGCAGATGTCTGCTGCAATGGCTTGATCACAAACATCTAACTAACACGAACACAAACAAGAACAAAGTCTTTTGTGTTGATCGTTGCAGGGTAAGTGCAAAGAAAAAGGTGTGCTTTTGCTACACACCTCCAAAAAATACTTCAATACTATTCTCGGATGAAATGCAATCCCCCTGGTTCGATTTTTGTCACTCACCTTTTTGAGTGTCTTGGGCTGTCTCAGCCATACAGCTAACCACTGATCTAAACTCACAGCTTGCTCTTCAACAAATCACTGGTCTTCTCAGATAAAGTCATTGCCATGCTAACTAACCAAAAGTGTTTCCAGCTTCTTCCTACTGTACGGTATGGCTGTGCTTCCATAATCCCCAGAGCCAATGCCATCTCCTATGCACGTCTATATTCTTCCCTGATCACTCCGCCCACCACCCTCGACCCAGTCCTAACGTATGGACAGGGAGAACTTGTGTCCTCTAAGCCACGCAGGTGCACGTGCGGTGTGCCAAGGGACACTGAATCCTCCCCCTCCATCTTTTACTACCGATGCCTTCACCCCCACCCACTTAAGGACTGGAACTGACAGGCTCCGTCAACACAGCACGTACCCGGTATTCATGAACTATTGGTGAACTTCTTGATGAAAGCACGTAGATGTACCTGAGAAGTCAGATGTCGGGGCACTGGGGGTGGGGGGAGGGAAGGGGAGGGAAGGATCGTATCTAACAATGCATCCCCGCACCTAGCATAGCACCTGGCACACGGTAGACACTGCGAAGGTGTGTGCTCAACTGCAAACAGAACACGGATCAGGGAACGTGCACAATAAAGATGCAGCCGACCTGCCGGAACGCGGAGGCCTGGGACCCCAGTGTCGGGAGGGGCCCGGCCAGTCTCCCCCAGGGCCCGGGCCGCGGTGCCTTGCTGGTGGCGGGGTTCTCTCCGGCGCTTCCTCCCGCGGGGAGACGGGCTGAGAAGCGCTTCCCACGCCTGGAGCTGGAAGTCCACCGCTCCTCCGCTCCCGGCGCCGGCTAAAAACCCGCAGCTTCCGGCGGGCCCCTCTAGCAGCGCGGCGGCTCATCTCTCTGGTGCGCGGGGAGGACCACCGCAGCCAAGCCCCGCCCGCTCCACGCCTCTCGCCTTCGCCCTGAGCTAGACCCACCCCGACAGAATAGTCTAAACAAAGATAAATCTGTGTCTTGAGGGTCCTCACAGACTGATAGACAAGCTAGATCAATAAAGAACTCAATTCAGCTAGTTGTACAAATTATTCAAGTGTATAGGTTATTACGTAAAGAGTGAATAAGGACTGTAAAGTGGAAAGTGCCTCCTTCTCTAACCATTGTGTTTTTGTATGTATCTCCCCAGGACTCCCCGCTATATAACATTCAATGAACCTCTAGTTTGGCTAAAAAAAGAAGAAGAAGAAGAAGAACTCACTATATATATATTTTAAAACACTTGCGGAATCACAATTTAATTTTCACTTTAGCTCCGTTCACTAAGGCAGCTTGGAGATTTTCTTCGTAACTTATTCTTTAATAACAATCAGACAACCAAACAGTACTCCAATGCATGGATATGCTTTGATGTACTGAATATTCCTGTTGATACACAAAAGGTGTTCTACAGGCAATCTGGTCCATGTCTAGGATAAACAGCTGCACGTTATGGCTGTTCCAAGTGCATATACAACCTTGCTATACAAGGCCAGGCGTTTAGCACAGTAGTTAAAGATGCCGCTACTCCGTGTTGGAAAGCCTGGGTGGGAGTTCTGACTCCTGATTTCAACTTCCTGCCGACGTGCACTGTGTCTCTGTAAGGAGGGCACCTGCTTGCCCACAGGAGGGAGCTGGAGAGAGTGCTGAACTTCTGCTCGATCGGCCCCCTCTGGCTGTTGCAGGCACAGGCGGAGAGCCAGCCTACAGCTTTCTCCGTAGTTCAGACAAACTTTGTCTTCCTGGCTTTCAAATAAATACAATTCCCGGGTCCGGCGGCGTGGCTTAGCGGCTAAAGTCCTCGCCCTGAACGCCCGGGATCCCAGATGGGCGCTGGTTCTAATCCTGGCAGCTCCACCTCCCATCCAGCTCCCTGCTTGTGGCCTGGGAAAGCAGTTGAGGACAGCCCAAAGCCTTGGGACCCTGCACCGTGTGTGGGAGACCCTGCACCCACGTGGGAGACCTGGAAGAAGTTCCTGGATCCTGGCTTCGGACCGGCATAGCATCGGCCCTTGTTGTCACTTGGGGAGTGAATCATCGGACGGAAGATCTTCCTCTCTGTCTCTCCTCCTCTCTGTATATCTGACTTTCCAATAAATAAATAAATCTTTTAAAAAATACAATTCCCTATTAACATTTCAAGAGCATTGGCCTTTGAATGTAAAAGGGGGCTCTAATTGAAAAATTAGTAAAGGAAATGACCATGCCTTGTCATTAAATCAAAATTATACGCTACTAATTAACATATAAAAAGATGTTAAGACTATCCGTGGTTGTGTCAGAAGCTGCCAAAGTGTCTTCCACAGTGGCTGTCTCCTTTTGCATTCCCACCAGTAGTGAGTGAGAGTTCCAGTTGTTCATCACTCATACTAACATTTGGTGTTAGTATTCTAGATTCTGGCTTTTCTACTAGACATTTAATGGTGTCTCTCTTTTGTTGCTGTTGCCAAATATTTATTTGTTCCTTTGAAAAGTAGAGTGACAGAGAGAGTGGAAGAGACAGAATGAAAATTATTTTTATCTTAAGGATTTATTTTATTTATTGGAAAGGCAGACATACAGAGAGGAGGAGAGACAAAAAGGCAGATCGTCCGTCCGATGATTCACTCCCCAAGTGAGTGCAACGGCTGATGCTATGCCGATCTGAAGCCAGGATCCAGGAGCCTCTTCCGGGTCTCCCACACATGGGTGCAGGGTCCCAAAGCTTTGGGCCGTCCTCGACTGCTTTCCCAGGCCACAAGCAGGGAGCTGGATGGGAGGTGGAGCTGCTGGGATTAGAACCGGCGCCCACATGGGATCCCGGGCGTTCAGGGCGAGGACTTTAGCCGCTAGGCCACAGCACTGGGCCCTATTTCTATCTTTTGGTTCCACAAATTCCCACAACATTTAGGGATAAGCCAGGCGCAAGCAGGGAGACAGCAACTCCATCTGGGTTTCCCACATGGATGGCAGACCCCAAGTCATCAGACTGTCATCAGCTGCCTTCCCAGAACAGGCGCAGAAAACTGGGCTAGAAGCACCATTTGGCCAAAACTGGAACCAACCACTCCAGTTTGGGATGTGGGTGTTCCAAACTGCAGCTTGTGAAGAACTAGATGTTTTCTGCTTTTGTAATTCCTGCCTTAATTGCTTGGCTGGGGGCTGTGTGAACTCCAGGACTGATAGTCTACGTGACACCGGGCAGGACACCTGGCAGGTCATGTAGGCAGGCCACTCCTCAGGAAGGAGGTACCTGGTGTTTGATAAGATTCACCGCCCTATAGCTCATCGATTTGTACTTTTTGAAAGTTGCTTGCTTCAAACGCACCAATAGAAGCCTACTAAATCATGACTGTATAATTAATAGCCTAAAATGTATAAGAACCACTGGGTTGTTCAACTGGGGGCTCCCTGGCTCTCTCCTTTTTTCCCCTCCCTGCAGATCCTGCAGCAGCCTAGACTGGGGGAGGTGGCTGGGAGACCTAAGCTAACCTGAATAGACCACCTTTATGCCTTAGCACCAACTTCAGACTTGAAGATTTTCTGGGGATTTCAAAATCCGGTACAACATTTGCCCAGTGGCACCAAAACACTAGGGTCATTTTTTTTTTCTTTTTGCATTAACTTTCATTTCTCAGATACATGGTTTGGGTCATCTTTTCATACTCAACATTTGACATCTTATTTAATCAGAGTTCTGTTAAGCTCTTTGGATCATTTAAAATTGGCATTATTTTTTTATTGCTGGATTTAAAGAATTTTTTTCTGTATGTTGGATAACAGTTCTTTAAGAGACATATCTTTTGCTGTGGTACATCCAGAAAATAAAATGTTGCATAGT